CGAGGGAGCGAGAGAAAGAGAGAGAGAGAGAGAGAGAGAGAGAGAGAGAGAGAGAGAGAGAGAGAGAGAGAAGGAGAGCGGACAACAGAGAGGGAGAGAGCAAGAGAACGACAGAGGCGGGGGAGTGCGGAAGACAGTGTGAGAAAGGAATAGCAGTAAACATTCAATAAATGTAAGATCTGGAGACGAGAGATGCGCTCTGGTATGATACTCCTCGATGCATGCCCTGTAGCTTACATTTAACACCGGAAGCAAATTCACGCGGGATGGCTAGTGAATTAGGTCAGCGGCTGTTCTGCTATCTGACCGACTGACCGATTGACCGACCACCCGACCGACCGACCGCCCGCCCGAACATCCGCCGACCCGCCCAACGCGCCCGCTCGCCCAACCTGCCCGCCCGCCCGCTCGTTCGCTCACCCGCCCGCTCGTTCGCCCGCCCGCTCGTTCGCCCGCCCGCTCGCTCGACCGCCCGCCCACCCGCTCGCTCGCCCGCCCGCCCGCCCGCCCGACCGACCGACCGACCGACAAACTGAAAACATCTAACTCACTCGTCGGTGTGTCGCAGGGCGTCAGCGCCGGCGTGACGCTAGGTGTCGCCGCGGGCGTCGGCTGTGGCGTCGACCTCGGCGTCAGGAAGGTCGGCGTGCAGATGCCGTTAATCTGCTCGCGTCTGATGATCGGAGTCGTGTCCGACGTCGACGTTGTGCGGCTAGAGGGCGTGCGCGGCGTGCTCGGCGGCTCGTGGCAGACGACGTCGACGAGCCGATGGCAGCGCTTGTGCACGAGCAGCCGACAGGAGACGCACTTGTAGCCCGGCCCGCCGATGCCCCAGATGCGGTCCGAGCAGAACGCGCAGATCGCCCTCTGGTGGAGAAGCAGAGGAGAAAATATGAGCTCGTTGCGACGACCACTGATATCTATATACTAACTGAATTGCTCTTAGTGGCCAATAGGTGAAGTCACCAGACGCCATGACACCACTCCTCGAGCTAGCATCAAGCGTGAGCCGAATTTTCACGTGACTCGTGACGTCACATCCAAAACCTCTATGTATAGACCATTATATCTTTTGTCTCTCTTTCTCTCGCTGTATATATCTAGAATACAATGCAATGCAATGCAATGCAATACAATACAATACAATACAATACAATACAATACAATACAATACAATACAATACAATACAATACAATACAATACAATACAATACAATACAATACAATACAATACAATACAATACAATACAATACAATACAATACAATACAATACAATACAATACAATACAATACAATACAATACAATACAATACAATACAATACAATACAATACAATACAATAACAATA